TTAATGACTACAGACCTGTGGCCCTAACGTCTGTGGTCATGAAGACATTTGAGAGGTTGGTGTTGGCTTATCTGAAGGACATTACTGGACCCTTACTTGACCTCCTGCAGTTTGCTTACCGAGCAAACAGGTCCGTGGATGATGCAGTCAACATTGGACTGCACTTCATCCTGCAACATCTGGACAAAACAGAGACTTATGTGAGGATCCTGTTTGTGGACTTTAGCTCCGCTTTCAACACCATCATCCCAAAACTCCTCCAGACCAACCTAACCCAGCTCTCTGTCCCTAGCGCGACTATCCGTCAATGGATCACCAGCTTTCTGACAGATAGGCAACAGCTAGTGAGAATTGGTAAATTCACATATAACAGCCGCACCACCAGCACTGGCGCCCCTCAGGGTTGCGTCCTCTCCCCACTGCTCTACACCAATGACTGCACCTCTAAAGACCCCTCTGTCAAGCTCCTGAAGTTTGCAGATGACACTACAGTCATCGGTCTCATCAAGGACGGAGATGAATCTGCTTACAGACAGGAGGTTAAAGAGCTTTTCTTTCCCCAGGCAATCTACCTCATGAACAGTTAATGTTCTCCCATTGTTCAATTGAAGTATGTGCCATAACCTTATACTTATTTATCACCCCAAATCCTAGTACATCCCTACAACTTTATTTTATTATATTCCTATTCTATCTATAGCACACCTGTACATACAATTTATTATTTTTTTGTGGTTTATATTTATGCATTTTATTCACATCTTATTTTTATTATCTGTGTGTTGTTGTTGTCTCTGTGTACTGGAAGCTTGTGACACTATAACAAATTCCTTGTATGTGCAAACATACTTAGCAATAAAGCTCTTTCTGATTCTGATATAGTGCAAAATATACTGGGATATGTATCCCACAATGCAATGCACTCGACTTGATCATCTATTTTCCTGTGAAGAACGAACCTAAATTAATATAGCCTTTTTCTATTCTTGACTCACCTTTCTATTGAGACAACTGATAACTGGACACTGAATTAAACAATAAATGTGATAATGTCTTGTGACAATTTTGCATACTACTGTTTGAAAATGCTTACCGTTTTACCTGCTATTAAATAAACAGAAGCCAGTGTACAATATATAGTATAGTGTACAGTACTCAGCAGGCTAGTATGGCATTGCAAAGTCGGTATGAGGTTGTGTAAACCCACCTTTGCTTTGAGCACTTCGGTGTCCATGGCATGGCTGGCCTTGAAGATCTTCTGTGCTTCTTGCTGAGGCCTGTGAGAAGGGAATTTAGCATGTTTCTCATTCAGAGAACAGTTTTTGATGCATGTATACAGTAATTTGTCTTCTGTGTACACACAAACACTCACTGGCTGAGCTGTTTCCAGCGCTGAAAGAAGTCGTGTGATGCCATCTCTGTGGGCTGGAAGAACTTGTTTATGGTAACAGGCAGCTTGAGGGTGAGATTCTGGAGAGCTCCACCATACCTGAAACAACACAACGGCTAAGTAAATCTGTGTATGCTGACTCTTGGTCATAAACTGTTTAAATGCATGCATCTGTTACCTGAACTTGATGTTGAGGAGTGGTGCATCACTGAAGTCAGTCAGACACTCAATGTTGATGACCTGCTGCACCTGAGCACCTCCTTCTATAAGAGGCTCCACTGGTTTAGACTGAACATTGAGCTGTGGGTTCAGTTAAGGAGTTAAACAACAAACCAGCGTACTCTGATGATGTACATGACAAAAATCACAATGTGTATAAGCAAGAATGAACATGAGTTTCATGTGTGGATGTGAAGGATATGAGACTGTAGCTCTCCTGGGCAGGTGACTGTGGTCGTGAACGTTACAAACTGCACTGACGTCTTATTGCCATAGAACAGATAGATCCGCCCTGTGAGGAGAGACAACAGACACAAACCAAAGATCAAAAGGTGTTTAAGCATCAAAAGTTTAATACAGCTTTAAACGGTTCATTAGAATCCGTCCTGTTTAATTTTAATTATTTTTCTGAGCAAAAATGAATGACTATCATACATTTTTACCATGATCAACAGAAGACACACCCACTAAAATGTCATTCAGTGTAACAAGAGTTCATACACCAAAAGAATCTTGTCAGGCATACATTATTAGAAGACATGAAATAATTTTAACATTTTAATTTAAGTTATTTCAAACATTAAAGTAGACACTTTTTTGCATTTAATGTTATCTATTTATATAAAGTAACTTTTGTAAATTAAATTTTATGTAGGCACTAAAATAAGACAGCTCGTCTTTAACCCACAAGCATTTTGAATATCAAGTCAAATATTAACACTGTAACATCCCTTTCAGGTTTTTATAATGCTAAAACAACAGGATAAAAATGAGCAAGAACTGCTGAAATGCGTACGCTGAAACTACAGTCTCTCATAAACGCAGGTTAAAATATAATAAACTTGAAGACATAGTCCAGAAGTCTGCTGACATGGACTTCTAGATGATGCAATTACAATTTTGCAGATGTTGTGACTCACCCAGGTTCTGGCGATATTCAGATTTAATGCCGATCTGAAGCAGCTGATTCTCAAACAGAACTCCGTTGTTCTTGCAAACAAACCTGAGGGCAAGAGATAAGAGTGTGTGTGAGGCAGACAAACATGCAGGGACAGCCAGAAATGGCACTGGTTTTGTAATGGTGCGCTCATGTGTTCTCAGAAAAATCAATAACATGAGCCGCCCACTGGGCAAATTCACCTGGAAAACTCACTTCCAATTTTTTATTTGATCTATAATGGGAGCTTGTGACCATTAGTAAAACAGGTAATTACCAACAGTGTTAGTAAAGGATACAATTAGTTTCTGTCCATGCTAAGGGACTCGGTTAAGTTAAAAATGTAGCAATTATTAACTCAAACAGGCACGTAAAGCCACGCAAATCAACACTGGAACAATGACTTCGCCTTAAGGCAACCATCCGAGGAGCACGTGAATGCAGCATAAGACACAGAGGAGGGTGGGTGCTGAGAGGGTGACAACGGAGACAAGAGACTGTAACCTGAAGCCTAAGTAAAAAAAGACCTCAATGCTCCCGACCGCTGTTTACCATGAATAGGCATGGTCTTGTCTCTTAACATATAAAAAATAAGTATTGGAGCTGTGAACTAGTGTGATTAGCCCAAATATAGCCATGAAGCTTATACGGGACATCAAACAGTAGTATCCACAATGTGCAAGCAGACACAGGCTATTGGTTTCATAGACTCAGAGATCTTGAGTGAGTGTTGACTTACTGCTGACTTTGATTTGATCATTTTTGTATTTAAATGTATTATTTGGTCACCATAATTAATAGTCATAATATAAATCTGAGCTGTCAGAATAACAGAATATAAAACAGCATTCCCCAACATGAAATAAATAATTTTCTCTGCATATAATTTTTTTCAATGTTCCAGAAAGAAGTCTCATAAGCTCACCGATGCTGCATTTATTTGATCAAAATACAGTGAAATATTACAATTTAAAATAACTGCTGCATTTTAATGTTTTAAAAAGTAGTTTAAACCTTTGACAGCATTTTCAGCATCATTACTCTAGTCTTCAGTGTCACATGATCCTTGAGAAATCATTCAAACATGCTGATTTGATGCTCAAGAAACATTTCTGATGATCACTGTTGAAAACATTCTTTGATGAATAGAAGGTACATAAAAGAACAGCATTTGAAATAGAAATATTTTCTAACACTACAAATATCTTTCAGTCACTTTTGAATACTATAATAAAAGTAAATAAATTTTAGTAGTAATAAAAAAGTAATTTCTTAGCAATAAAAAAAATCTTACTGATCCACCCTGACTTTTAGTGTATACTTGACACAAAAAAACTATTGATTAGCAGTTCCCACACTACATGCTTAAGATTAACAGTAATATTTTAAAAACAAAAAAACATTTGTTTGTGGTTATTTTTAACTACATTTTGCATTCTGTCTTCCAGTACAAGAGAAGAAGAAATAATATGAGAAAAGCTGTGGGTGATGGTTGTTTGACTGAAAAGAGGGAGTGAAGTGGGCGAGTGAGCTCTTACTTGTTGAGCAGTTCATCTGACTCAGGCAGAGGAGTGGGATCTTCAGAGACCACAGAGGGGGGAGCAGAGCTGAGAGACCGAAAGCGAAGGATGAAGAGAGAGGAGAGCGGCCCCAGAAGATGAAGAGAGGGGTGAGAAGTGTTAAGTGTGAAAAGGCACAGATGGTTAAAACAGATTAAAGATATTAGAAAGTGGTGAGCCAGTAAAAAGAGAAGAAGTGCAGAGTGAAGCCAAAGGAAGGTAGCAAGAAAGAGGAGAGAAAGAGACAAAGGCAGAGGTTAGTACCGGCATTACATCCGTGGCCAATAAAATGTTAGCAATTAATAATACCACCACACAGCACACAAATAGAAAATACTTCACAGGCACAAACAGAAAAGAACACAACAACATCTATAAATAACCAAAAAGTTAAGTGTTTATATATGACTATTGACTGTCAATAAGTTTTGCTGTAACATATTGACACTGTAGTCTACCACTGGCCCCTTACTCAGAGTCACCAGGACCCTCAGCCAATAGGGAGTCAGAGCTTTCAGTGGGGGGTTCCAGATCTCTGCCATCGTCCAATGAAAAGCAAGGACGTGAGAAGCACATACGTTCACGCATACACACAAACATATGCGCGCACACACCAAAATGAGGGAGATAGAAAAGGGAGGGAAAGAGAAAAAAGAGGCAAGAAAAGAGAAAGACAGTCACATACGCAGCAAGATAAAGGACACGAGATTACACAACATACAAATAGGAAGACAAGAAGAACGAGCGGTAGAAAGTCAAACGACAGAAGAGCAGAAAGCCAGACGGACGTATATACAAGCTCTGAACATGTTAAAATATTAGTGCACTTCACTTCAGTTAAAGCAATAAATTAAAAATAGGATGCTAATGAATGAACTGGATCCTTATTTACCTCAGGAAGCCATCATCATTGACGCCAGTCTCTGAGAAAACATCAACCAATAAGCTGCCTGCGCTGGGAGCGGCAGCAGTAACAGGGTGACCCGCACGGAGCCCCAGCAGATCGGCAGATGGGGACGGAGTGGACTAAAAGAAAGAGAGCATTCATTACATTGGATTTTGGTTTAATAAAGACATGCTAAAGAGCTGAAATGTCTAATTAGAAAACATTTGAATCAGGATGTGCTCAGTGGGTGGGTGTTTTCTTAGATCTATATTTGCTGACTCACTTCCCTGTATGTGTGCATGGCCCCAGTGGCTGAAGTCTGCCACGTACTAGTCTCAGTCTCACTATTACCATTCAAAAGTCTGGGGTCAATAAGATTTTTTTATCTCTTATGCTCGCCAAGATGCATTCATTTGATCATAAATACTATTATTGTGAACACACTACTATTACAACTATTAAGGTCATTGCGCACAGAGTCCAAAATTTGCGTACGTTAAAAAATAAATACGACCTCACGTTGCATCAATCACATTTACACACTGCCTCCGAAACTTTCGTCCATCATAAAAAAACTCGGATCAGGTTTGATTTTCTGCATTTTCGCAAAAAAAAAAGGAAAGACGCATGCGAAAATTTCGGACTCCGTGTGCAAGGACCTCTATTGTGAAATGTTACAATGTAAAAACAAAACTTTTCTATTTGGATATATTTTAACACAAATCTCATCTCTGTGATGGAAAAGCCAAAAACGGTGTCACACGATCCTTCAGAATCATTCTAATATGCTGAATTTTCAATAAATAGAAAGTTAACATGAACAACATTTATTTGAACGATAAAACTTTTGTAAAACTATACATTGCCAATTTTGTTACATTTAATCAGTCCTTGCCGAAAACAATAAATCTTGCTGACCCCCAACTTTTTGACAGCAGTGCCAATATAAAAATTTCAAAGCAGTTTTATCCATATTTCTTTATGTTTCTCACAGCATTAGATGCAGCAATGGCAGAGCTGTCCCCTCCTCTCTCTCCCCCTCCATTGAGTTCTCCTGCCTCTCTCTTTCCCTCCTCTAGCTCGTTCACTGACACGGCTCCTGGTCCCTTCTTCTTTTTCAGCTTGGCCAGGATGGACGACTCTCTTTCTGGGAATGGAGGCATCTCCTCGAGCACTGTGGCCTACAGTTACACACAGTGACACAGATGATTATGCAAATAAATGGTGAGACACAAATCAACAAAGTGCGTGCAAAAGAGCGTGATCTCACCAGGACATCAGTGCTGGCGATGGAGGACAGTTTGAGATACTCCACAGCTCTCTGCTGCAGCTCGACATCACTGTTCCTGATCTGGCTGTCAGAGCGCAGCACTTCCTGAATGGTGCTCTTTGTCTCCGGGAACAGATTAATGAACTTAATATAGGCAGAAAGCAGCAGGGCACGTGTGGGCACTGAACACAGGTGAAACTTAGAGTGGAGCAGGTTAAACTGAACCAAAGGACTAGTGAGATAGAAGAATTTGACAATTTGATGAATTTCAGATTATAGGAAAGATGACAGAAAAAGTAAAAAAAAAAAAGAAAAAAGAAAAGAGGACAGCATTAGTACAGCACACATCCAAAGTGTGATGTCATAAAACGCTAATATAAAAAAACTCACCTGGAGCGAGGATCACCTGCTATAAGGTTACCAAACTCTCCCAGGATGTAGCCTCCAACCTTTACCATGTTCTCATGACAAGCTGGAGCCTGCAAAGCCTGTGGAAATTGAAAAAAAAAAGAAAAAAAGAACAGAGTTGCATGAAGTATCGTAATGATGGCGGAAATCAATTTTCTGAATGTGTATAAGAAGTGACAATTTGAACATCTGGTGTCATTTACCTCAAAGACTGTCTTGGCTGCATATCCCTGCACATCGTCACGATTGATGACGATCTGGATGACGCGGTACCACACTTCCTCACTGACGTAATCCCCAGCAATGCGGATTAGGTTCAGAATGGTATCCACATACCAGGAGTAGTCTACTGCATATTTCTCTGCCAGGATGGCCACCTTCAGTACCTACAGACACAGCAGTCACACATTAAAACAACGACCTGTGACTGAAAAGACATGGAAGAAATTAAGAGAGACGCACCATTTCCTCTCTGATGGAGTAGTCGGCTGTTTCCAGGTAACTCAGCATCTCGGCGACAATCTGCTTGGCATTGCTGCGGTCACACATGGCGTAGAGGAGGTCTGCAGCTCTCTGACGCACACTGACATCCCTCTCAGTCTGCCAGCAGAATAAACAGAATTAAATGGTTATAAACAGTGTCCATGAATAATAAAAGGATGAATCTGCCATTAAAAAGCCTTTTTATTGCTGCAAAAAAGAGAGATCTTGTTTTGTAAGAATGCAGAATCTATCCACTTACCTTCAGGGCATTAATGACTGTCTCTATGTGCGTTTTAACTGCCTCATGGGAAAACTCGGAGCTGGCAAGGGTGCACATGCTTTCCAGGGCCAGGTAGCGCAGGTTGGTCTCTCTATGCTGTAAGAACTGTCCCAGCTGGTTACATGCCCGCACAAGAAGATTCGGCTCGCTGTTGTGAAACAGGCCATGAAGAAAGTTTGAACACAACAGATAAATGCTTAATACAGACAAAATATTTGAAACACCCTATCAGATCATTTTAAACAAAGCGATTATTTAAGAAATACACAAAAAGAACAAATTTTTAATAAAAATATATGAATCCATATGTACGAAAATTGTTCCTAAAATGACCTGTGCATTTTTAATTATTTGTGAAGTTTCTAAAGGGGGGGAGGGGGGAGAAATGGAGGCAACTTGCACCTGTCATAATGAATGATGAGAGAAATGGCTTCAAATAGGATGGCATTCTTGGCATTGGAGTGCTGAACCTTCTTGGATTTGGGTGGCTCTTGGGCTTTGTTGAGGATAGTTTCCAGACACTCCACCAGCCGTCCCTTCACGGCACCGTCCTCAGGCGGTGGGTAGCACTGCAGAAGTCGCAGCAACTTGCAGGACAACCATGGAGCAGGAACGAAGTAGTAGGTGTAGTCCTGCAGGTCAGTGGAGGCTGAAGACACAATCTGAGAATGGAGAAAAAAAACAAGAACGAATCAAAGATAAGAACTAGGGCTGGGCAAGTTAATGCGTTATTATCGCATTAACGCATTAATTGATTAATGCCGACACTTATTTTATCGTGCGTTAACAGTTTTTTTATTGTTATTAAAGTCCATTGCTCACGGGCTCTGAATACACATACAGACAAGCCTAGGGTCACAGGAGGGGTGGGATGTTGATCAGTACTGGCTTGGGATGGGTGTCGTCACGCGTCTCAACCAATGAGAGCATTTGGGGAGGGCCTAAGACTGCAGGAGCGCTCACAACTTCATAAGCGGGAAATAGGAATTTTCCGATAGCACGTGAAGATGGCAGAGAAGCGCTCTCACTCAGCACAGTGGAGTGCATCGTTTTGTTAACTTTGTGGTTCATTATTTTGAGTCGTTTGGGACGCGGTACACGACCCTCTCACAATATATTGCTTTACACCGACACTTATTTTATCGTGCGTTAACAGTTTTTTTATTGTTATTAAAGTCCATTGCTCACGGGCTCTGAATACACATACAGACAAGCCATGGGTCACAGGAGGGGTGGGATGTTGATCAGTACTGGCTTGGGATGGGTGTCGTCACGCGTCTCAACCAATGAGAGCATTTGGGGAGGGCCTAAGACTGCAGGAGCGCTCACAACTTCATAAGCGGGAAATAGGAATTTTCCGATAGCACGTGAAGATGGCAGAGAAGCGCTCTCACTCAGCACAGTGGAGTGCATCGTTTTGTTAACTTTGTGGTTCATTATTTTGATACGCGGTAACACACTGCCCTCTCACAATATATCACTTTACAGATCTATCACTTTTGCCGCTCAGAAATGTTCACGCAATCATGCTGCACGTATCAGACTACATACGTACTGCGCCCGAGCACAACTGAACCGTGCTCTGGCCCACCTCTTCCAACAGAGCTAGTGCCGGCTAAACGAACCGCGGCACGGAGCCAGGCCGCGGTTCGTTTCACACTAGTCAAACAAACCGGGCTTTGGGGGTCAGACATGCTCGGGCACAGTTAAGATTGCCTAGTGTGATACAACCTTATTCTCCCGCCCGCACTCGCACTTGCCCATCAAGTGTTGTCCCACGCTGCACTCTGCTGCGTTAGGTCCTGCGATAGTGCAGGTCTCTACCACGGTTGCCAACTCTCGCAAGACAAATAAGCAGCCGCAGCTTCAAAAACAAAAATCAGCAAACTGCAACAAAAGTGGGAACAAAACTCATCTCCAATCACCTGTGAGCAAAACAGGATTGGACAGATGGAAAAGGAGAAAAACACAAGAGCTTCAAAGGGGAGCTGTAACATAGCCACATATTTATAGCCTACTAAAATATAGGCTATTCGAACCATATTTACTCTTAGTAGGGATGCTCCAATCGATCGGCCGAAGATCGGTATTGGCCGATAATCACATTTTATGACTTGATCGGTACTCACTACACTTGGCCGATCTCACGAACCGATTGCAATTTGATGACGACGTACATGATGCGTGGGGACATAAATGATTTGGCGCCGCAGTCATGCCATCGCCAGTGTGGAGATGCTATGACGTTTGAGAAACAATGAAAAAATCGCTATTTGTCCTGTATGTTTTTCATGATGATATGATGAATGGATGGTTAATTTTTAACAGCAGATTCAGTGACGTTAGAGCTGATCTGCTCCTCACTGCACATGTCTGCGGTGTGTTACGGCTCCACGGAAATCGGAGCGCCTCTCTAGTCAGTGCTTGTGTTAATACCGGCCAGCCGCGAAACTTTCTGAAGCGGCTCTCTGCGTTGCTTGGCTAAAAATAGTCTTTTGTGAGTTGTCCCAGTGTGGAGGACGGAACAAAACCTCATCGGAGCCGTAATATCTTCTTTGGCCATATTAGCCTACTCAATAGCATTAACACAGGCTTTACTCCTTTCAAACTTTATCTGGAATGTCACCGTTTCTGTCACTGCAACTTCCCGATCAGGCGAACGAACACACACACACGAAATCGTCTGCATCATGAAAAAAAATTATTAAAAAAAAATTTAGTTAATATTTGCATCATTTATGATTTATTTTATCCACCCGCGACCCACCCGCAAATAATCAGAAATCATTTTTTATTACCCGACCCATGGATATAGGAAAAAGCTAAATAAGTTTGCTGCGTAAATCATACAGACTTACTGAAAATGCAAATGAATTCTCTGCCAGCAGGAGGTGCTTTAAAGCGGGAGAAACAGAGACTTCCCGATCAGGCGAACGAACACACACACACGAAATCGTCTGCATCATGAAAAAAAATTATTTAAAAAAAATTTAGTTAATATTTGCATCATTTATGATTTATTTTATCCACCCGCGACCCACCCGCAAATAATCAGAAATCATTTTTTATTACCCGACCCATGGATATAGGAAAAAGCTAAATAAGTTTGCTGCGTAAATCATACAGACTTACTGAAAATGCAAATGAATTCTCTGCCAGCAGGAGGTGCTTTAAAGCGGGAGAAACAGAGGTTTCCCTGGTAACGGCTGTACACAAAGCAGCGCTGAACTCACAATCGCTGCTTTATCAGGCATATAACATGCAAGATGAAATGAAAATGACATTGAACATTTTCTAAAGATAGTCTTCCTTCAGAAATACAGTGATATAAAAACACTGCACCTCGTTTTGATTTTTAAACGTGCAGTACATGCTCATGTTTATTCAACGAAGCCCACAAATAAATAAATGTACGGGAAACACATCCCACAGCACAACCACCTGAGCCCAACTTCAGTCTACTCATCACCTTAACTTTAACTGCGTTTGTAGCCGGCGCCATAGCCAGACTGATAAACAAACACAGACCTGAAGTTAACTCCGGGGCGGGCCAGGCGGGTGCACCCGATGAAACCGTATATATAAAGCTTGAAGCATCAGAATCGGTATCGGACGATCACCCTAAGAAAGCGGTACTCCGTATCGGCTGCAAAAATCGATCGGAGCATCCCTAACACTTAGTATTAGTATAGGATTACTTGTTTTTTTATTACAGCCCGTGATAAATAATACATTACAAAAACATTGTAAAAATTACTAATTAGGCTAAAAGAAAGTCATCCCACTCCTCTGTCTACTTCTATCTTCGCTTGGATTACAGCGTCACGCGCCTTCATTTTGAATGTGATTTTTCTCCAATGAGGGGGAGGAGGGGGCGGAACATTTGACAAATTACACTGCAGCACTTATATCATTGTACTGGTTGGCTATTAACTACGAGCAGACAAAGTGTCATTCAATGCATTGGAAAATATGGCGAACATAAATAAAGAAACAAAGTTGCTTGTCAGATTTCCCTAACAAGCAAACAAATTTTTTAAAATAAGCCCAAAAATCGCAACCCGCGACCCATGATATTTTCACGCAACTTTTCAAAAAAAGAAGCCCAAAGTCACGTATTAAAACGCAGACTTGGCAACTCTGGTTTCTACTCGGAAGGTGCCTGTTATAATGTTATGATCAAGGCTCTGGACTCTGAGCATAGGCTAACTTGTTATTCTATAACAAACTATAAAATATTTTCTATAAAAACGTTAATGCCCTGTCAGTGGCAAATAGCTTTGGTTTTATATTTAATTTTATTACATTAATGTTTATAAGTTGAGATTTACAAGAAATATTTTAACTGCTACTATGTAAAAGGAATCCTGCTGTAAAAAAAGCACCTTATTTGTTTAAAGTGTTTGCAAACCAAATGTTATTGCACTTTTGTTCATATAGCAGTACTTTTAAATGAAAAAAGTGCCCAATACACTACTTTTGAATGCATTATTGAATTTTGTGCACAACAGTGCAATTTAATCACGATTAATCGCATGAAAATCATGCGATAAATAGCGATTAACAATTTTAATCGTTGCCCAGCACTAAGAAGAACACATAAATCTGGGGCTGCAAAGAATAGAACATTTCATAAAATTGCTGTCAAGTGAATTTTTTAAGAGGCAAAACATTGCAAATAAAGATTAAAAACCTGCTACACAACTATGAAAAGCTGGCAGAATTAACCAACAACAGACTTTTGCTGTGAGTACAAAAAAAATTAGCACTTTAAAATAATAAGTAATGCATTTTAAAGAAATGTTAACCCAACCAATTTTAAATGTTAATCTAAGAAATATTTCTATTGTTATTCTTTTTACACAATGAACATTTTATATTTAAGTTAAATATACATTAAGGATCAAATTCATTTGATCAAAAATATAGTAAAACAGTAATATTGTGAAATATTATTACAGTTAAAAACTAAAATATATATACTGCTCAAGAAACATTTCCTATTATTATCAATCTTACAGCTGTGCTGCTAAATATTTTTGTGGAAATTGATTTTTTTCTTCAGGATTCTTTGATGAACAAAGTTTAAAAGAACAGCATTTTTTTTCTAAATTGATTTAACCTATTTATTATGCCCTTGCTGAATAAAAGCATGCATGCATTAATTCATTCATAAAAAGCATTTGCATTCCCACCAACCTCACAAACCCCCAAGGGACTGCAACCCATTCATGAATCTCTGGTCTATAGGCTCATATAAATACATACGTGCACGCACACACACACACACACACACACACACACACACACTGACCCTGCTGAGTCGTGACACAGCAAGCGACACACAGGTCTTGAACTCATCCGGGTTCTTCTGGCTGAGACAGGTGATCAGGGAGATCGCAGCAGTGACCACACCCTGAGAAAATAACAGATTCAGAAATCAGTAAGAACCCTTTTAAAATGCAACAACCACAAAAAACATGCTGATCTATAAATGTGTATATCTTACATACATCAACAGATATGTGTATGAACATCATGAGGTTGTGGTTTCTATGTGCCAGACTCACCATGTGCTGGTCATTGAGCAGGTGCACCACTCTAGAGGTCCATTCTCCCATGAGCACCAGGTCTGGGGAGGTCTTATACAGACGGAGCAGACAGAGAGCAGCTGACTGCTTTACACTGTCCATCGTGTCCCTGTCATTACAATAGGAACTCCATCAGCCATCTATAGCAACATGCGTCTGCTCAAACAATTAAGGGTGCTTTCACACCTGTAGATCAATTGCTTTGTTCCGAAACAGGGATTAAAATTATTACAATATTGCTTTTTATTCTTGGTGCGGTTCGCTTTTACACAGCAAAGTATCTAAACTGACCAAATTTGTTAATACAAGTCACGCACGAGTAAACTGTTGTCTCATTGGTCAAAGTTCAATGGTTTATTTTCCAGGATTCCACTTAGCTGTCACGGCTGTCACTCGTCAGGGTGGAACGATAACAGCTTCGCGGGCTTATTGTTGTTGTTTTGTTTTTTTTGTAGCTTTCCTTATATTAATTTATAATTTTGAGCAGAAGTTCAGGATTCATCGGGAAAACATTTTTAAAATGCACCTACTAGGAAGAAGAGCAATAAGACGGCATTATAAAATGAAAAAGTGCGCTTTTTTATTTGGAATGGGCGAAGACGTGCTCACCCACAGACATTCACAGGTTCATTTTGAAGTATTAGCAAAACAACAAAGCTCATGCTTTTCACAGAACTTACGTAATTACCCATTATACATTGTGATATAGCCTGGTTCGTTGGTCCGTTAGATCGGATTGCTTTCTCACTACAACCGAACCGCCCCAGTTTGTTTTCAATCGAGCCGAGACCACCTCGTTCAGGCGATCTCGGACCGATTGTTTTGGCACAGATCCGGGCGCGATTGCCGTGTTCACATATGCCCAAATGAACCGAGCTAAGCAGGGGAAACGCGCCAGGTTCTGAAACAACGGGCAAGGTGTGAAAGCACCCTAAGGCAAGACACTACATATTTTTAGGAATAAAACGTGTGTGTGTGTATGAATTAAATAATTAAATGTGTATTTTGGATGTTTTATTTCCACTAGTTTAAAGGAAAACAAGTTATGGAAGCAAAATAGCACAAATTCTCAAAATTGACCAGTGCCTAAAAAAAACAATGGGTTTTGCCTATAGTGACTTGCTAGAGTATAGCAAGTTTATATATAATATAAAGCATAGGTTATAACTGGCAATAAAAACCCAAATCATAATCTCAAATACTGAACACAAGAAAGCATAATTTCACTTTTCTTACATGACACACCACAAATAGACACTTCCTTTTTTATTAATCCTCTTTTTCTCCTCATGCAAGGTCCTTCAATCTAAATTCCTTAACCTGAATCCATAACTTTTGCCCTCTCACTCAATCCTTCCAGCCCAAAGTTGCTCACCCAGCCACAAGGATGCGAGGAATCTCTCCGGCGAAGGCCTCGGCCATCTCTCTGCTGCCGACGTTGGCGATGCAGTGCAGAGCCAGACACATGAAGGTGGGGTTTCGGCTGGACAGGTCGTTCTTGATGGCATTGTTAATCAGCCTGATCAGTTCACTGTTACTGTTCACCAGCACAGAGATGAACAAATATCCCTGGAGCACAGAAAAAGAGGAAGGAAGAAAAGAAAGCGGATGGTTATGATCTCTGTTTTGCACACACTCTGACTCAGGCCAAATGAGTCTATGGTAAAGCTGAAATGAAGACAGCGTCACTGAAGAACCGTCATCTTCAAACAGGCTCAGAGCGGCAGCCCTGCGAGCTCTGTGGATAAGCACTAAACCACGAGAGAGAGATGTTCCCCCTGACTGAGCTAATGTGTCTCCCTTGCTGCTGCCAGGGTTAAAGCTCTCTTGAATTGCTTCTTTTCCACTCTCACTGCATCGTGACATTGTACGCGATTTTAAAGTCGGGAGGTTTGGAGGAATGTGTCTTGCAAGATGATCAGAATCATCCGAATTCTACTATAATCAGATAGCAAAATTCAATCATTTGCTCCATTTAGTGTATTGCAACTCCATTATTAAAGTTCACTGTATGTATGTTGTTATATTAAAAAACTAAATGAAATAACAGAAAAAAAACCCTTCTGCAGCAAAATTCAGCATCCAAGACATAGCATATCATGTATTAGAAGAGCAGTGGAATTTTCCAGCTAATGGATGCGTTGAAACGGTTAGCTGTAGGCTGTGACTCGTTGTTTAGTTTGAGAGACCAAATCTTACCACACAGCAGGCCACTCGGTGACCTAAATCAGGTTTGGAATCCATTTTAATGTGCTTATAAGCCATATTTTAAGATTCACAGAAAACTGTAAGATGCTGTAGTGAAACTGTTTAGAGTTCTATATAAGGAAATTGGTGTTTATTTGAGTGAAGAACCTTTGCTGAATTTTTGGGCTGGGCTCACAGGAAACTGAATATTGTATTGAATGTATTTGACCCGTATGGGAGGAGTAGGTCAAAACGTGGTGACATCACCACATTCTTCAGCATTATAATACAACGTCTTGCAGTGAAAAGGACTTTAACAAAGGGCTAACAAGATGCATGACCTCAACTTATTTCCAGTTTATGGCAGTATATAAAATTGCAACAGAAAGCAAAAGATCTGGTGTGCTCGACAACCGTTCCACAATTCATTAGCACTATGTAAATCTCCTTCATTTTGCCATGTACAGCATTATCCAAAAGCAAGGCCATGTGGAGTTTAGTGACAACACATGTTGTTGTCTAGTTTGCATTGTAAATGTTATTTTAATGCTTTTCCTTTTCAAGGAAAATGATAAGCGGACTCAAAATGGCACTCAGTTTGTTGTCCTTTTTGTACCGAAACATGCTCAGATTGGCCAGATTCTGCCCGGCTTCTGTCAATGTTACCCTGTGGAGAGCTGTGTGGCTGATGGGAGTGTGGCTGCTAGAGTGGGTGTTTGATCAGCAGGAGATAATTAGACCTCATGGTAGGTCTACATGGCATGGAGTGCCACTAAGCCTCTTTGACAAGCTAAAAACACATCTGTTGCTGACTCTCACTCGCTATGGCCACGCTCATTAGATGTTCACATCTAGAAAAGACAACTTTCACAAGGGTAAAACTGCAGAGTAATAAACTTCAGATACTTCTGCAACACTAATGTTCAAAAGTTTGGGGTCAGTAAGATTTAAAAAAATTAATCATCTCTTAAGAAGTGAGATCTGAAAGAAGTCTCTTTATTCTCAACTAGGCTGCATTTATTTGATCAAAAATACAGTAATATTGTGAAATCTAAAGTTGTTAAAAAATGCAATTAATTCCTGTGATGACAAAGCTGAATTTTCTGCAGCCATTACTCCAGTCTTCAGTGTCACATGATCCCTTCAGAAATCATTCCAATTTGCTGATATACTGCTCAAGAAAAATTTCTAATTATTATCAATGTTGAAAACAGCTTAATATTTTTGTGGAAATATTTTTGGATAAATAGACAGTTCTACAGAACAGCATTTACATACAACAGAAATATTTTATAACATTATAAATATATTTTCTGTCACTTTTGATTAATTTAATGCATTCTTTCTAAATTCAAAAAAAAAATTTTTTTAAATCCCCAAACTTGAAATGGCAGTTTATATTGACAGTTACACCTCAGAGGCTGTTAACACTGCACACTGGAGCTGTTTGTTAACAGTCTAGTCAATATCCTGCATACCATTTGCCCAATAATTACTTCCATGTCTCTATGCAGACATAAGGGAGTATTTCTCATTGAAAAAAGAATGAGAAAACTGAAAACATTTAGCCTCTGCTGAGGTTCATTCGTGATATCTTGTCATGGTCATGAGGAGTGTCAGATAACAAGGGTGTAAAAGGCTTTACAAACTATAATATGTTTGTGTATATGCATTGTTCAAAACTCCATATGTTGGCTTATTAACCAGTCAATGCATTGTGAATGCCATATGAATGCCAGGATACATAAATGGATGAATTCAGACACTACTGCACTTTGTGTATCTTACAATCCCGATATGATACTATTTCCTATACAGTTGTCATGTTTTGCATAACTTCCTTACACCTTTGGCCACTTCACTGGCCAAAACTGTAATTAATCTGGCAGTGAGCAGCAGTAAATTGTGCATTGCAATAACTTATCACACATATACATGCTTACACAAAGTCAACAGTGTTAAAATTACAACAAAAAAAAACTAATTTAAGATTTTAATATACACAGACACACGGCAGGATATTTTGAGACGGTTCCACTCACAATCTGTTTCTCAGTGTACTTGTTGGAGCTGAGCAGGTTGACAGCCTCCATGTGGCCGAAATCAATATCATGGCCCAAAAGGAAGATGAAGAGCAGCTTGCACACATACTTCTTCTTGCTGTATCCATCCAAAGCCTTGTCTCCTTTAAATTTTGAGCGGATGTTGGCCAACTCTTTATTTATGCGCTTGATCTCGGCCTCCTTACTCTTACCTGAGGAGAGAAATAAAAAACAGGATTTCAGCTGACACTGCAGAGCAGTTAGTTATCACTGGGTGATCTGAACATATCAGGAGACAACACAAGCTGACAAAATGCCCGGCTGCTGTTGATATCTTGCCTCAAATGGAGATAGCAATTTGCATTTACCACAGTACAGCTTAGACAGTATAACTAGACTGTGAGCCCTTTAGGCATGAAAAAAATATGCATATTTCCCTGCCTTTATTTTCACATTCAATTACTCTTGTATAAAACTATATTTAAAAATAGGGATGCACCGAAACGAAAATTCTTGGCCAAAGCCGAACAAAATGAAACATTGCCAAAATGTGCTTTTTACTGTTTTGTCCTGCTTTTCAAATAAAAAATCAATTACAAAACAACAATTTAAAAATATTTACTTAACACTGAACATTTTATAACATTCTAGCAGACATTATACCAACAAATCACAATTTAACTTAAAATGAATAAGTTAGTAAAATAATATTTTTGGCCATTTTTGAGACTTGAATTAGGCATGCATGTTTTACTGTACAAATAAAGGTAACCTTGCTGAGCAGAAGATACTTCTTTTAAAACATTAGAATATATTACAGATCCCAATTTGAACACTATGTGTGAATGTTATAATAAATGTACCGTATTGGCCCGAATATAAGACGACCTTGATTATAAGACGACCCCCCTTTTTCCAGATGTACCAACAATCACATTAAAAAAAAAATACACTTTGATATACCATTAAAATAAAAAAAAACATGAATTAGGACATTTAGGCTATCCATCTAATAGTAGCCTAACAAAATCGTATTAACAGTAGAAGTTAAATCTTACTGTAGTCTTCAAATCTGGGTACTGTCTTATGTTTTAAAATCACAAAGGGAGTTTGGTCCCATCAGGCTAACGTGACAGTCACGACTCATGCAGCTGTAAGCTTTTCTTGTTCTTTTGTTTTTACTCACGATCTTTACAACACGCATTACATTACGTATTTCATGGCACACTCGTTTCATGCGTATTTGGTGCCACCTATTTCTGTGGGTGTATTATTGACATGTCAAAGTCTAGAGCCTGAATATAAGACGACCGCATTTTTTCAGATGTATTTCCACCCCAAAAAAAACATCGTCTTATATTCGGGTCAATACGGTATTAATAGAGCTGTTGTAGGGTCATTATTATTATCATTATTATTGTCTTACTTTTTTATTTTATTGTTCAGAACAACAGTAAAATTACAATACTAGCATCTATAGCTGTTGCTTTTACTCGGCTTTTATTTTGGCAGAAAAACGCAGAAAGATCTCAGTGCATCTTTTTGTTGACAACAGCATGCAGATTTATAAATGATTCATTACGAATTTGGGAAGATGTTTGTCGCATGTATCACATTGTCATATGCCTTTAAAAAAAAAAAAAATCGCAAAAATGTTACTGAGCAAATGACGAGTAACAAGTTCAGCACAGATTTTCCTCGTGCTTTGGACTTTGAACCCTGGCACCACGAGCTCGTGCAGCACTGTCAGAATACATGCAATTCGTGCGTGCATTAGAAAATATAACATTTTGCAGTTTATTTACTAATCGTTTGAGGCCATTTCACGATTTCAATCATCATACAGTAACCTAACCACCAGCATCAGCCTCCTCTTCTTCTCACCGGAGACATGTGATGCAGCACTAAACAGTCTCTCGCTGTCAGTGCTTTGTGCTTGTAATGATTTCTGCATCTTTCTCTGTTAGTTTTAAATACTTTTACACTGCCGACATGTTTGCTGCATTAGTGCGTGCCTCTATATTTAATCGCGTTAGTTATTGTTCGGTACATATTATTCAGCGAAAGAGATTTTTTTGCTATTTTCGGCATTTCGCTTGCAGAAAATTAGGTGCATCCCCCAAAACAAAAAAAAGCAGTCTTATATGTAAATAAAAAAAATACATTACCAATTTACAGATTTACACATAAAGTTATGGTGTGTGATTGTCACTATTATGAAAGTTGGTGCGTTGAGAATGAAATAAAAGGAGGGCCAAAGGAGCAGGTGATGATAAATAAAGAGGACAGGAAACCAGGAAAGACCACAGGAAATAGCAACACATTCTTCAGGGGTATGGGGTTGAACAGGATAAAGATTAAGTGCCAATGTGTTTAGAAAAAAAGTTTTCACAAAGGTCTAGCAAAACCAAACCACACAATACAAATATTACATTTGATTTAGATTTCTTATTTGCTCCAATGTTACTCATGCACAACGGATGAATATTCACACTGCTTTGTATATGCACTTTTCAAGAAAGGATCTGATGACATTCTGCTGTGCTGACACATGAGATAATGCTAGAAGGAAAATAAATCCTTTGCTAAGTGTAAAAAAACCTTGTACTGCTTGTTATGTTGAACAACTTTGCATATAAGTGCTATTTTGGTGCAATATAGCGTAATATGAGGGTCCTGAATCAATCCCGGGGTTCTTACAAAAATATATTTCCTATGCACAAGTCAAACTAACTTTGCCCATACACGCATTAGGGCTGGGAGATATGAGCAAAAATTCATGTCTCTATTTTTTGGCTGATTTGCGGTATACGGTATATATATATATATATCTCTCTGCATTTTTGTATTAGGATTAAACAAATAAATAAAGTGAATGTAACCATGTAGGCATATATTATGTGCTAAAAAATGGTTAAAAATCACATTATATTCTAACACTGTTACATTGCAATCTAAGAACAAAAAATAATGCTTTTAAAGCAGAAGTTAAATTTACTAAACTAAAAATTTAAATAAAAAAAGCACAGAATAATTTAGCAAAAAGGCTATTTTGATTACCCCATTAGAGTCACTTTACAGTTAGTGTTATACAAATACTTCAGTGTTTCCCACAGACTTGCACTCTATTTATGTACATATATATATATATGCAAATTCATTCTCTGGCAGCAGGAGGCGCTGTTGGAGTGGTAGAGATCGAGGTTTCCCTGGTAACGGCTGTACACAATGCAGCGCTCCGCTCACAAACGCTTCTTTATCAGACATTACATGCAAGATGAAATGAAAATGACATAGAAAATTTTTCTGAACAGTCGGTTTCCTTCAGAAATACAGTGATATAAAAACACCCACAACAGGTTTTTTGATTTTGAAACATGCAGTGATCATGTTTATTCAACGAAGTCAAAGCCTTTTGGAAAATATATTTGTGGCGGACAGTTTTGATATTGTGGCGGGCACCACAAATAAATCATAGTATGAGAAACACTGCACTTACTTGCATGTTTAAAATTCTACATATGCCACATCTATTGTCCAACTACAAATATTTCAGCAAAATGTATATTTTAGTTATTGCGCTTAGGGGTCGACCGACATGTGTTTTTCAAGGCCAATGCAGATACCGATTATTACAGATCAAGTAGACCGATAACCGATATTTTGAAGCGATATATATGTCTGGTGTAAAAATGAAAATGAATGTCAAAATTAAGAATAACAAGGGCTCTGACAAAAACTGCCTT